TTTATGTTCATAATTTTATCATAGGAATTCACACATAATAATTATTAAATAACAAAAATTTTATATATGAATAAACCTCATATAGGGTATATTTTTATAACATATTTTCCGTGCATCGCACGGGACAAATACTAGTTAATAATAATATGGAAAAATGGAAATGAATGGAAGGAAATGTTAGCCATGGGAATTTTTTCTACACTCTGAAAAATGAAAAAGAATCAATAAGCAGTATAACAAAAAGAATCATTAAAATATTTACTATTAATCTTTTAGGAAAGATTTTGCATAAAAAAATAGAATAGAATTGGTTATTAATAATTTAGCCTTATTTTACTATTAATCTTGAAGAAAAATTCTGCATAAAAAAATGTAATAGAATCAGTTATTAATAAGTTAGCTTTATTTTACTATTAATCTTTAAGGAAGATTTTGCTTAAAAAATGAAATAGAATCAATCTATCTATCTATATATAATTAAAAACAAAATCATCCTAATTCATTTTCCCGCCCAAACTTTAGTAAAGCTTATTTGGTAAGTAAATCTCAAATGGAAATTAAATAAAATCTATTAATTCGTAAATAATAATAATAATCCAAACAAAACTATATACAAATTAAAATTAAAATTAAAATTAAAAAAAAAATAAGAAGAAGACAAAGGTGGCTCCCCTTTGTAAATGATGTGGGATCATTTTGATCCCACATTGAAAATGTTTGAAAAGAGGAGCTCTTGAGCTCCTCTATATAAGAGGATCATTGCTCCTCTTACAAACATATAATTGATTGCCCATCAATGTGGGCAAGTATTGCGAAGTCCAAAGACTCTTCTTTTTTAGTACTACTGACCTGACAAATACAGTGTTTACCTTGCAAAGTAGACACAGTTCAAAAATTGTTCATAATTATGAATATATAGTTCTATAATTATAAACATAGTGTTGTGAACATAATTATAAATATATAGTTATGTAATTATGAATATAAAGATTCAATAAGTGTAAATATGAAATTCAAAAATTATGAATATATATCCAAACAAAACGATATACAAACATTTATTACAATAATAATAATAATAATAATAATAATAATAATAATAATAATAATCATTCAAACAAAACGATAAATTAAAATTAAAACAAAAAAAAAAATAAGAAGAAAGACAAAAAGGAGCCACGGGCTCCCCTTTGTAAATGATGTTAGATCATTTTGATCCCACATTGAAAATATTTGGAAAATGAGCTCTTGAGCTCCTCTATATAAGAGGAGCAATGCTCGAGGAGCTCCTCTATATAAGAGGAGCCCGAAATATAATTGTTTGTCCATCAATGTGGACAAGTATTGAGAAGTCCAAAGGCAAATATTTTATTTTTTGAGTACTACTATTGACACGTCAAATTATGCTGTGGAATCGTCTCCACCTAGCAAGGTAGACACGATTTTAAAATTGCTCATAATTATGAATATATAGTTCAAAAATTATGAATATATAGTTCTAAAATTATGAACATAGTGTTGTGAATATAATTATAAATATATAGTTATATAATTATGAATATAGAGATTCAATAATTCTGAATATGAAGTTTAAAAATTATGAATATATAACTTTATAATTATGAACATAAAGTTTAGTAATTATGAACATAGAGTTTTGTAGTTGTGAATATAGAGTTCAATAATTATGAATATGAAGTTCAAAGATTATGAATATTTAGCTTTATAATTATGAACATATAGTTCAGTAATTATGAACATAGAACTGTGTCCACATTGCAAAGTGGACACAGTTCCACAGCATAACTATTCGATTTACCGTGTTACATGTAGTATCTGTTCATATAAACTTTTTTCTCAACCTATTGAAGCACAATGTTTCAAAAGGCTCTTATTTAAGAAACCTTATTTTAATGGCTTCTTATTTTAGTTATATATATATATATATATATATATATATATATATATATATATATATATATATATATATATATATAGAAAATTTTAATTTTGGTCCACTGACTATTGCACTTGTGTTAATTGCAACACTCGACTTTCAAAAATGTTTATTTAGTACCTTGACTATGCAATTTCTATCAATTTTGGTCACGCCGGCCAAATTGCCGGCCAAATGTAACCGGAAAAATTTAAATCAACATTTAATCTTAAATAGAAGGGCAAAGTCGTCATTTCATGTTACCTTAACATAAAGAAAGGGATCAGCAACAAAATTACTGGGAAAACCGAGTTGTGAAGCTGAAACACAGGTCACAATTGGGTTAGTTGGCCACTGGCTTAAACTTAAACCTTCAATTCGCTCCCCCAAAAAGAAAAGCAAGCTAAAGTTTCATCATTATCCTCAGGCATCATCCCAGAAGACCATCAATAGTTACCCAATTCAGAAATTTCAACCAAAAAAAAATATATTTAAAAATCAAACTTCATGGCAAAAAGCAAAAACCCAGAATCACCTGAACAGGAAAATTAATGAGAACCCAGAAAATCCATACCTCAAAATCGTCAAAAATGGAAGCTTTGACCTAAAAATTAGCAAATAAAAGACACTGAAAAAGAGTTCATTTTAGACTTTAAAGATTACATCTTCAACAGCCTTAAGGGCCTGGAGAAGGGAGAGTCGCCGTAGAAAACACCAATTGCCCACCGGAGGTAACTGTTCCAGCAGCTCCAGTGCCGGCTCATCTGGTATGATAGTTCCAAAGATCGAACTAAAGCTCGAGGACCCGGATTCGAGAGCTATCGTGCCTGTGAACAACGACGACCATATTTCGACTATGGTAATTGCGAGGAGGAAGTATCAGCAGCGTTCGTCAAAGCTGGTGAGGGGCACCGATCTTAGCCCCGAGGATCAGAGGTATGCAGTATATTGCGAGGTGAACAACCTTCGTCGCCGGAAATGGAGAAACTCATGCCCGGAGGTGTGGCGTATGTGGCACCGGAGGTGTTGAGGAAGAAGAAGCAAATAATTTTTTTTTATTTTTTTTAATGTAAAATGACTGTTTTGCCCTCATGAATAAAATTTTTTAAAATGTTTAAGTTTTTCCGGTCACATTTGACAAACAATTTGGCCGACGTGACCAAAATTGATAGAAATTGCATAGTCAAGGTACTAAATTAACATTTTTGAAAGTCAAGTGTTGCAATTAACACAAGTGCAATAGTCAGTGGATCAAAATTGAAATTTTCTCTCTCTCTCTCTCTCTCTCTCTATATATATATATATATATATATATATATATATATATATATATATATATATATATATATATATATATATATATATATATATATATATATATATATATATATATATATATATAGATTAAGGATCAAATGAGTACTCATCCTTAGGTGAGGACGTGAGGTTTAATCCTAGCCGTGAATTTTGTTTAGATGTGTGGATGTAATTTTATTTTATTTTCTTTCCTTTTTGCATGGTAGGGGTTTTTTAGTAAATGATTTTATTTTCCTTCCATAGATTTAATTAGAATAGTTTTATTAGGCATATTTTTAGGATTAATAATTAAGGTAGTGTAGGATTCCTCTAATCATTTCCATTTCAATCTTTCTAGATTTCTAGGTACGGTATAGTTTGTTTGTTTTTGTTTTTGTTTTTTTTGTTTTTTACAGTTTGTTTTTGTTTTAACGTCATTTCCTTCGTTCTAAACTTCTAGTTATTGTATAGTTTGTTTGTTTGTTTGTTTTTTTATTTTTTTATTTTTTTATTTTTTTTTTACAGTTTGTTTTTGTTTTAACGTTCGTTTTGGTGTTCTTGCATTGTATTTTCAATCTTAGCAGTTTTGGGTTGTGTCATTTGTTTTCCTCTTTTTCTTTGGTGTGGTAGTTGTTCTATGTATTTGTGCATTTATTCACTACCGTTTTTCTTTGGTGTGGTAGTTGTTCTATGTATTTGTGCATTTATTCACTACCGTTTTTTTTTTCTTATGGACGGTCCTTTTTGTACGCACGTTTGTTATGCATGTGTTTTTTAAATTTGTTGTTAGCCATGCTAGGATTTGGTGGGTACTTTGTGGATGATGCTAGTGTTTTGTTTGTGTCAAAATTATCTTAACTAGTATGTCAATATTTCTTTATGCAGTTTTGTGTATTGTTGGTATCATTTTATGTGTATTACTGTATTACCATTTATATTTTAATCTACTTGCGGTCTTTTTTTCCCAAGCATGTTCTTTTAACTCATGGTTTTTTTTTTTTTTAATATCATGTAAGCAATGGTTGTTGTTGGTGGTGGTAGAAACTGATCAGTGTTAAAAACATTTATCTAGTTTGAGTCTTTTTGTGGCACTTCTGCATCGGAGAAAGTTTGTGTTCGCCCTACTGTTGTCTCTAATAACAAAGGCAATAGGAATCGTCTCAAAAGCTCAAGGGAGATGTCCGTGGATAAGGCTTCAACCACCCCCCCCCCCGCCCCCCCCCCCCCCCAAGCGGCAATGTAGGGCATGCAAACAGCTTGGGCATAATGATAGTTGTAATTGATAGTCGTAGCTTGATGAATATTTTAGTTATGTTTCAACTTTCAATCCACCATTATTCAACATTTTTCTTTTAAACTTGTTTTTTAGTTAATTTATGTCATTTGGTCATTTGCTTTATTTCATATTTGTTTAGCGATACATTTTCATTCTACCTTTGTGTATTGTGAATCAAGTTTGCTGTGCATTCTATTTATTATGTTTGACAATAATGGATTACTGTGTTCTTTTCCCACAGGCAACTTAGTGGTGTGGAACAAAGAGCTGTGGGCATTTAAATAAACTAATACTATGTACTACTTTAAAATGCGTTTTGAATTTTTTTAAAAAAGGAATTACACCAAGTGTATAATATGTATGAAAATTGTGATTGAAGTTTTATTGCATTCCGACAGATGTTCAAGTATCGTGATTGGGCAGCGCACTAAAACCAAAGTGCACACGCCTGCAAATGAGAATTCTGTCATGGCAGTATTTTCCACAAACCTCTACTATGCACATTATAAACATTCAAAATTGCACTGAAATAATATTACCTGATGCACACTTTCACTAACATACAATACACCCACAAATGCATACTTTACAAAACATAACGGCACAGAAACAAACAGTCTTGGTTATCCTGTGTACTTGTTTCTTGAACCGGAGGATCAACGAAGTCATCATCTGTGTTATGGCTGTCCGTAATCTCAACATGTTGCTTCTTAGATTTCTTGGATTTCTTGTTCTTCGCTGCAAATTCACATTACAAAAGAAACCAAATAAGATCAGTTTATACAATGCTCGATGGTCAAGCCCCCAAATACACACACAACAGGACTATCATAGCACTTTATGCATTCGTCCTCAAATCTACTATTCCACTGCTAATGGACACTCAGTAATACAAGCATACACTTCCCCACCATATTTTTTTTATCACATTTACGTAGACATTCATCACCCACATTTAGGTATGTAACCACGATACTTTATATGCATAACGTACACACCCTCAAATGCACACATTAACTCAGTACACAAACGGATCATATGATCGAATGCATAGCGTCTACCGAATACATTGGAATGCATAAACATAGACTTCAGGCACACATTCTTATTATTACAAAATGCACAAATCAGAAGTAACAAGACGCACATTAATCATTACGCATATTCCTAATCTTTCTGCACACATTTCTATTACCCAAATGCACAGTTCAATGACCACACTCATTGAACCACTCCCAATCTTTACTCACAGTAAATTAATTTTTTCCCTCATCTAATTCAACACTTACAAACCACCAAACCACAATCTATTTTTCATTTCACATTTTAACCAAATATGGTTACTCACAAATACACACATCATCTCTTCATACCTTTACTTCATGACGCACAATGCACAAACTCATTCTTCTTTCACATACTAACTGGCAACTAACATGCACAAATACAAACTACTGTCATGCACTCTAATCATTTTTCTTGTATTGAAACCATTTACACAATACAAATATCTGTTTCATTCTATGACTCTTTATCATTTTCCATTTCAATCTTAACATATTTCTTGTTCAATTATTAATAGTGTTAGTTAATTCAAGTTAACACCATCATGTTGTATTACTCTTCTTATATATATGTCATTCATTTTCAAGATTTTCTGCAAATAAATTATACATAGTTCTATATGAAATTTCATATGCATACGTTTATACTGTTAAGCCCACAAGCCATTTATGTATGCACAAAGTTCTGTTCTGTAAACGCACATTTTTACCCAATGTAAATCATTTTCCTTCGTATTGTGGAGCCCCCTCAAACTAATTCAGTCCAAAACAACATACTACTGTGGTTCCTACTATACGCTACCTAACCTCTTGTGCATCCCAATCATCTCTTTTGTTCTGATAGTTTTTAAAAGATTAACTAAATCTCTCTTTTTTCCCCAATTTTTATAAAATTCTGCCACTGGCAGTGTGCAATTTGATTGCACAAATAACCAAATACTAATATTCACCCCATCACTCTCCCTCACAATTCGATTCCAGCATACATACTCACTGCCTCATGCAATAAATCGATGCAATGTCTGTATGGGCGTCCATTGCACACAATGCCCCTCTCACTGCCTTAACAAATAAATTACATGCAAATTAAGCTCCTCCAATGGTGTCTTATCACCTAGCAGTGACAAAAAAAAAAAAAAAAAAAAAAAAAAAAAAAAAAAAAAAAAAAACAGGTGCCCTTGTTCCCGTACTCTATTTGCCGTCCTCACCCATCGGCAACACTCCAACGGAGTCCAAGCCAGTCGGGGTAATCAACACCAATCATCGTTCAATTTATATTATCCAAAAAAAAAAAAAAAAAACTAAAGCGCACAAAACCATTGACTACGAACCCCATTGTTCCCGCACTGTATTTGCCGCCCTCACCCACCGGCGCACTCCAACGGAGTCGAAGCGAGTCGCCCTAATCCACACCGACCATCGGTCAATTTTTATTATCCAAAAAAAAAAAATCAAAAATCGCACAAAAGCAAACCATTCGAACATGCAATTTGACAAACATTCTTTCCAATTTTGCAGGCAAGTGATCGAAATAACAAAAATAATCAAAAAAAAATATACAAGGTTTCGCTTACGGAGTCTACTCGTTGCCTCAACAGATGAACGCCGTTGATTTCTTTTTGAGGCCCGTCCGCCATAGCTCCCGGTTGTGTAGTCTTACCCACCTCTTCAACTAGTTGTCGCTTGAGCTCTCAATTTCGTCTATGGTGAATGTGCAATCTTGACAGCTTCCTTTCACTTCCGCCGTTTTAACCCTACGCGTACATACCCGGACGTTTCGCTCTTTCCTTTCTTTTATTGCACAATCAATTATTATTTTACCGTTTTACCCCTTATATTAATTACTACTACACTTATTTACCTGATTTCCTGCACGTTTTAATTTTCTCCTTGTGCAATCGGCGCCGTTAGAAGGCCTGATCTGATGGATGCAATTTGTCCACAGACCTCACCTAATATTCTAGCCTCACTTGAACCTCACCCATATATATATATATATATATATATATATATATATATATATATATATATATATATATATATATATATATATATATATTTATTAGGGGGTTTGGCTAAGATTAACCCAAAATGTATATGTGTTGTTTTAGTTTTTAGCACTTTGGAGCAAATTGCTAAGTTATTAATTTTGATGTTTTGATTAAATATAAAATGATAAACAGGTGAATTTTTTAAAATTTTGGAGAATTCTCCAAATAATCAAATAACAATAACAATAACAATAACAATAACAATAACAATAACAATAACAATAACGATAACGATAACGATAACAATAACAATAACAATAACAATAACAATAACAATAACAATAACAATAACAATAACAATAATAATAATAATAATAATAATAATAATAATAAGTTTTCAAAAAAATAATAAAAAAATAATAATCCAAACAAAACTATATAAAAAATAAAATTAAAAAAAAAAACAAAAAAAAAAAAAAACAAAAAAACAAAGAGGAGTCACAGACTCCTTTTGTAAATGATGTGGGATCATTTTGATCACACATTGAAAATGTTTGAAAAGAGAGAGCTCATCTATATAAGAGGTGAAAAGAGAGAGCTCATCTATATAAGAGGAGCAAAACTCCTCTTACAAACATAATTACTTGCACATCAATGTGGGCAAGCATTGAGAAGTCAAAATGTTCTTATTTAAGAAGCTTCAGCGTTGTCTTCTTATTTATTTATTTATTATTAGTGGGAGTTTGAAAAGATTAACCCAAAATGTATATGTTGTTTTAGTTTTTAGCAATTTGGAGCAAATTGCTAAGTTATTAAATAATATTTTTAGTTTTTTTATTAAATATAAAATATTAAACATATGAATTTCTTAAAATTTTGGTGAATTTGCCAAATAATCAAATTACAACAAAACAACAACAACAACAACAATAATAATAATAATAATAATAATAATAATAATAATAATAATAATAATAATAATAATAATAATAATAATAATAATAATAATAATAATAATAATAATAATCCAAACAAAACTATATACAAGAAAAAAAAAAAAAGAATAAAACAAAGGGGAGCCACATGCTCCCTATGTAAATGATGTGGTTCATTTTCATCCCAAATTGAAAATGTTTGAAAAGATGAGCTCTTGAGCTCCTCTATATAAGAAGTACAAACATAATTGTGTACCCATCGAGGAGGCGAGTATTGAGAAGTCAAAAGGTTATTATTTAAGAAACCTTAGCTTTGTCTTCTTATTTTAGTTTTATTTATTTATTATTTATTATTTATTATTTATTAGTGGGGTTAAGGAAAGATTAACCCAAAATGTATGTGTTGTTTTAGTTTTTAGCAGTTTGGAGCAAATTACTTAGTTATTAAATAATATTTTTGGTGTTTTGATTAAAGATAAATTGTTAAAATGGCGAATTTGTTAATAATAATAATAATAATAATAATAATAATAATAATAATAATAATAATAATAATAATAATAATAATAATAATCCAAACAAAACGATATACAAAATAAAATTAAAATTTGAAAAAAATAAGAAGAAGACAAAAGGGAGTCACGGGCTCCCTTTGTAAATGATGTGGGATCATTTTGATCTCACATTGAAAATGTTTGGAAAGAGGAGCATTGCTCCTCTTACAAACATAATTGCTTGCCCATCAATGTAGGAGAGTAACCTGGAGGGTGTGGTTGAGTGTAAGGAACTCATCCATCGTTAACCAAAGGTCAAGGGTTCATCTTTGGATTTGGGAATAGAGCAGCCTTAAATCTCTAAGTCAGCTATCCCACCCAAAAGAGGTGCTTACAATTTAGCGAGGGGATTAGTCATTGTGTCCGACGGTGGAAACCCTGGGTTTACCAAAAAAAAAAATCAATATGGGCAAGTATTGAGAAGTCCAAAGTATCTTCTTCTAATCATTGCATTTTAATTAAAAATGGAATGGAAATTAAAAATTGGAGGAAAATATACCAATAATAATATTCTACATTATCAATAGTAAATGCATATTTTAAACAATAGTAAAGGTAAATTAAAAATGAAACAAAAATATTTCAATAATAACATCTACATCATCAATTAAAAATGGGACGAAAGTTAGGTAAAAATATCACTGCATTTGATATTCTAATTGACTAATTGACTGAAATAAAAAAAGAATAATTGGCTGAAAATGAATCTGATATTACGAATTGACTGAAAATATAAAATGATAACTAATTGAGTAATATTCTACCATTATATATTTTCACCCAAGAAACCCGTCCTGATGGAGAAGATGTTAGCTCTAGACGAAGATGAACAAGATTGTGTTGTCACTACCAATGTCATCTACAAAGAGGTTTCAATAATGTGTAAATATAATTGGTGATATTAATTTTTTCTTAAATGAAAAAAATTGCTATATATCTAGACAAAAAGATATATCTTCCATACAAATGAATAAGGATAGCAATTCATTTCTATAACTGAGTTGTTAGAGAACGAGCACATTTGCCTAATGTATGAAAATACTAAACAATGATAAATAAAATCTTCAAAATTATAGGACCGCATGCGTACATCTAGACATTAGCTATTAATTTGAGCAATTATTTGTGAAAACTCAAGCAATGATAACATCAAAATATATAAACGATTCAAATTATATCTTTAATTGCACTATATAATATTTGATGTTCTAATTTAAATAATTATATATCGATTTATATTTTTTTAATATATTACAACAAATGCATTCCGTGCATCGCACGGGTGCAAATACTAGTATTAGAATAGAATTTTAACCCAGAATTATTGTATGAATGGAAAAGTAGAAATCAATATATTTTATTAGGAAGAGAGATTTTTTAGGAATTGGGCGGGAAGTTAAAAGTTCAGGATTTTGTTTTTATATATAGTATAGAAGTATAGATATAGATTACAATAGGAATTGTATTACACTATTTTATAATATTAGAATAGAATTTTAACCCAGAATTATTGTACGAATGGGAAATCAATATATTTTATTAGGAAGAGGGATTTTTTACGAATTGAGCGGGAAGTTAAAAGTTCAGAATTTTTTTTTTATATATAGTATAGATAGTATAGATATAGATTACAATAGGAATTGTATTACACTATTTTATAATATTAGAATAGAATTTTAACTCAGAATTATTGTACGAATGGGAAAGTAGAAATCAATATATTTTATTATTATTATTTTTTTTTTTGTTAATCCAAAATACCTGATTGAGTAAGCAATCATTATTGCATGGACCATGGTCCATACAAAATCATAAATAGAAAATACATTTTTAAAATATTAAAAGTACATATTATATATATATATATATATATATATATATATATATATATATATATATATATATATATATATATATATATATATATATATATAAAGTACATTATTTGAAGACTTTTTATATTTTATCAAATAATGTACTTTTAGTATATTAAAAATGTATATTATATTAAAAATGTATATTGTATTCATGATCTACATAGCTATGTGGATCATGGTCCACACAATAATTTTTCTTGAGGAAATGGGTAGTACTCTATATTATTTTGTTATTGGGCTACAGATTATGGACCGGAGACATACTATGTTGTGGAATGCTTTGAAAGCCCAGCCCATATCCGAAAAACCCAAATTCATGCCTTCTCTGATTCTGACTGAGATGGCTGTTCGGAGGATCGAAAATCTACAAGTGGCTTTGTTGTGTTTCTTGGCTCTAATCTTGTGTCCTGGGTCTACAAGAATCAAAGAACTGTGGCTAGATCTTCTATTGAGGTCAAATATAAAGTTCTAGCATATGTTTGTGCTGAAGTAACTGGGATCGTTTCAATACTGCGTGAGATCAAAGTTCCAAGTATCTCTGTCTCTAATTAAACTATGGTGCGATAATCTTTGTGCTACTTATATGTGTGCAAATCTCATCTTCCATGCTCGTACCAAGCACGTTGAAAGAGATTATCACTTTGTTCGAGATAAAGTTGCTACCGGAGATATTCAAGTCAATTTGATATCAACAAAAGACCAACTTGTAGACATATATTCACAAAAGCTTTGCCTAGTCCTAGATTTTATTTTCTTAGAGGCAAGCTACAATTTACTAGTATACCATGTACTTAAGAGGGAGTATTAGGACTAATATTACGATTTTATGTATTTGAGTCACATAATGACCCTCTATCATAGTCTCTCTATAATTTCTATTCCCTATCCTAGTCTCCCTATGATATCTACTCCATATCCTAGTCTGTCTATGATTCCTCGGGTATATATTCATTAAAGATTACTTGTCATATCAATCCTGCGTTTTGCTCTTGAATTTCTAGGTAACATTTGGTGCAGGTTAAAGTTTTTGCCTCCAACATGGCTACTTTGAGATACCTTCTACCCCAAGTAAAGTCAAGTAGTGCTGCGCATTATGACCACACAAATGATCTATGGTTTAAGAACAGGTATAGTGGTGCTGAGGAAGAGAAAACTGCTGTTATCAAGGCAAACCCAGTGCCCCCTTATATGAAAAGGGCTGGATTTAGGCCATCTAAGCTTGAGGATTTTGGGGATGGAGGTGCATTCCCTGAAATTCATTATGCACAGTATCCTCTTGATATAGGGAGAAAGGACTGGAAACCTGCGGACAAGACATTACCTGTTACTGTTGATGAGCATGGTGATGTGAGATATGATGCAATTGTGAAGCAGAATGAAAATTCAAAGAAAATTGTGTATTCTCAGCATAAAGAGCTTATTCCCAAGGTTGTGAAAGATGATGAAAACGATGAAGAGATGGACATTGATGAGTTGCAGAAGATAATTGAGGACACCACCATGGAGACGAAAGCAGCCCTTGAGAAGATTGTGAATGTGAGGTTGAGTGCTGCACAGCCCAAAAATGTTCCCACACAATCTTCAGACTCTAAGTTTATTAAATACAAGCCATCACAACAATCAGCAGCTTTTAACTCAGGTGCAAAGGAGAGGATCATTAGGATGGTGGAAATGCATGTGGAGCCTTTGGAGCCACCAAAGTTCAAACACAAAAGGGTACCAAAGGCTTCTGGCTCTCCCCCTGTGCCTGTTATGCATTCTCCTCCTCGTCCCGTTACTGTGAAGGACCAACAAGACTGGAAGATTCCTCCTTGTATTTCCAACTGGAAGAATACAAAAGGTTATACAATTCCACTTGACAAGCGTCTTGCTGCTGATGGTAGGGGACTTCAGGAGGTCCAGATCAATGACATTTTTGCAAAATTGTCAGAGGCTTTATATGTAGCTGAACAGAAGGCTAGAGAAGCAGTTGCGATGCGGTCAAAGGTGCAGAAGGAGATGATGATGAAGGAGAAAGAAAGAAAGGAGATGGAACTTCGTGAATTGGCCCGAAAGGCCAGATCTGAAAGAGCAGGTCCTTCTGAAAGGGGCACTGTGAAGAATGATGACATGAATGTGGATTATGACCATGTCCATTTCCGAGATGTACCAAAAGAGAACAGACAAAGAGACAAGATTCGTGAAGATAGGCGTCGGGAAAGGGAGAGGGAGCGAAGGTTGGAGGCTATAGATGCTGCAATGGGCAAGAGGAGTAAGATTACAAGGGACAGGGACCGCAATGTTAGTGAGAAAATGGCCCTTGGTATGGCCTCAACTAGTGGCACACGAGGAGAGGTCATGTATGATCAGAGATTATTTAACCAGGAGAAGGGGATGGATTCTGGATTTGTCACTGACCTTGCATATAATATTTATGACAAGGGTCTCTTTTCTGCCCAACCTACACTCTCTACTCTCTATAGACCAAAGAAAGATGATGATGCTGAGATGTATGGTGGTGCAGATAAACAACTGGATAAAATTACGAAAACAGACCGTTTTAAACCCGACAAGGGATTTGCTGGAGCCTCTGAGAGGACTGGTGCTAGAGATAGGCCTGTAGAGTTTGAGAAGGAGGCTGAGGACCCAGATCCATTTGGGTTAGACCAGTTCTTAACTGAGGTCAAGAAGGGTAAAATAGCCATGGACAAAGTAGGCAGTCGAGGTACTATGAAGGCCAGTGCCGGCTCCACTCGATATGGCTATTAAGGAGGATCTAGTAGAACAAGGATTAACTTTGAGAGAGGGCGTTAAGATGTATCTTTGGGAAAGAGTCTATGCTCGCCCAGGTCATGAAGAATTCAACACACTCCAAACTCCAAAATTTTTTTTATGTTCCTTGTGTGGTTTTACAGTGTTGTTAGACTCAAACCTATTTGATACGATTATCATATTTAAATTGCCTAATAGGGACTGTTTTCAATCATTATAAAAACCAGTAAACCTATTTGAGCCATTCTTACTAGTCTACATTCTTGCGTATTTTTTTGAAGATATCTTTTATCTTTTATTAGTTACTCCAAGCTGTTGATAGTTCACAATCACAATTTGGAAGAGTATAGCACAAGTTAAAGAATAAGAACCTTCCTTTAATAAGTGACTTGACAATTTATGCAAAGGGAAATGTGAATGCTAGTTAGTTTTTGAGTGTGCAAAATGAAAAATTATGAGCAATGGCTCCAAATAAAAACTCTCTTGCACAGAGACCTGAAACCGATGAGGCAGCTGGATCACACACCATTAATGGGAGTTGAGCATTTCATCTGCTGCAGATTGTATCAATAAAAGAGAATCGATAATGTTTCTTTGGGTTTGGAATCGCTACAGAATTAAAGGCTTTTGAGACAAGATGACTCACTATGCAAATAGTTCTGAATCCACTTGTTGAATATTGGGGAAAATTTGTCTCAAAGTACTGATGTAGTTTGGAGAATTTGCCTGCAGAATAACATACTATCACAAATTGCACACCACTTACAGGGGAAATATAAAGAAGAAAAAGCGAATTACGTGGGGAAATGAGTAATTTAAACATTCAAGACTTCAAAATGTTTTCTAGCTATGACATGTTAGGTGATTTCCAAAATTACGATTGCTATGATATACCTCTAAATTACAAAGATGTGCATCCATTCTTTAAGTTCCAAATACATGGAATGTAATATTTCTATTGCACTGATAATAATGGGTCAATAGCATTGTTGCTAAAATCATGCTACTTACAAGATTATGGTGTGAAGTTGTAGTTCTTCAGAAAGTGAAGATCATTAAAAAGGTCTAAACTAACAAGAATGCGTGTGATCTATCATGAAGCAAAAAAGTTCGAGAATCTTACACACCAGAAAAACGAACAAGTAAACATAGGTAAAAGAATGGACAAAGAAGAACAGCACATAAAGATCTCACTCAGAAATCACAATGCAGTTCAGAAAATGGGTAAGAGTAGAAATAGGTGTTATATGTATACATACACATGGGTTACGCTCAAGATATAGGGTAGTCAGTTTCTGTAGTGAACCAGCAACAGCCTCGGCTATATCTTCCACTGATGATATATTGTTATCATTAAGCCAAAGATCTTCTAATCTGTAATGAAAGAGAAGACAGAAGATGATCAGAATGAAACTATCTAAACATGCATAAACTTGGATGGCTGAAGTAGTTATCATACTTTGTCAAGTTTGCAATGTTACTAATTGCGGTAAGCTTGTTTGCTGATACATCCAGGACTCGAAGGTTTACCAGGGTTGATAAGCCTTCCATTTTCTCAATACCATTATGGCTCAGATATAGTTCTTCAAGAGCAACACATTCCTGCAAAATAAGGAAACAGCTGAATAAACTGCATTGACAAATTATGAAAAGCTTTCCCCCCATACTCAAAATTACTAATGGCTAATACCTCCAGTCCTTTCATTGAAGTCAAACGGTTGCTCTGGATGCTAATCTTCTTAATGCATTTCAATCCACATAAATTGATAGCTCGAATACGATTGCGTCCAAGCCAAAGCTCTTGTAGATTTGTTAAAGTTTGCAGATTCTCCATTACCTAATCAAAAGAATACTTAAAATTATGTCTTTTTTCCCCCAGTAAACCATACTGTACAATCTAAACCATACAGAAACACATCTTCATGAAGGGGTTGGGTGTTTTGGTTCATCACACATATTGAATAAATAAATTGCTCGTGGCCATTGCCACAATTGACTTTGTAATTATAACATAAAGCATGAAACAAACCCGTAGTTTGTTTGACCCAAGTTCAAGAATCTGCAGCTCGTGAAAGTGTTCGATCTCTTCTATCTTTGCAATTTGATTATTAGAGACATAGAGCTCCTTCAATGTACTGGAGACCTTGGACAATCCGCTAGGTGATGTAATTTCGTTGAACGAAACATCAAATACCAGAAGTTTCTTAAATATGCTAACATCCGGAATTTTCTTCAGCTGATTATCCCTGAGCACTAGTTCCTGGAAGAGACAATCCCAACTACATTACTAAAGATAATGTTAGAAAGCCCTGGCAAATTCAAAGGACATTGCATCAGATTATCCATTCCATGCCCCATACCTTAAATAGATATGCATTAACAGGATAACTATGGCTTTACTTAGAGCTTCCTCATTGCTGATTCGCTGTTATATGTAACTAAACACTATAATCCCAATTTCTTTTATCTTAAAATTATTAAAACTTAAAGATCCTTCAGAGTTAAATTTATACTCGTAACAATTTAACCAATTATAACAAAGCACAGCAAGGGGATAAATTTATAAGATTTTAACTAAAAACACCAGAAAATCAAATAATATGCTAGGTTTTGAGTACCTCGAGTTGGGAAATGGTGTGCCACGACGAAAGAGGCTCGAGCGCGGCGTCGGTAATGAGGTTCTGGCGAAGAGAGAATTTGTTGAGATTGGAGAGGTGGGAAATACGGGGGTCTAACGCCGACAAACGGTTGGCCGTCAAGTCGAGCTCGGAGAGAGACGAGGGGAGGTCCACGGAATCGAGATCATGGAGCTGGAAGCTGGTGAGATCCAGAACGGTTGGCGAAGACGATGATGTTTCGCCGTTATCGGGCGTTGAATCGGAGGGATGGCCGTGAGTGGAGGTTCCCGGAGATGGGTCCATCGGAGAGTGAAGGCCGTTTTTGCAACTGCAACGAAAACTCAGAATCGCAAAGGAAAGTTTGCGTTTGTTACGTTGGGTTAATTGTCAACACCTCACCTTGGTAACGACAAATACTTTTCCTAACCTTATTTATTGAGTATTTCCTTTTTATTACTGATCAAAATGGAGAAATTTTAATGTAAAAATATTGTATTTTTTTTTTATCGAGACGTGTATGGAGTAAATTTTGTTATTGTATAATAATTTATAATTTTTAAAAATTAATTCGTAATAAATAATAATATGAAAATTTTATACAACGGGTTCAGACTTAACTCATCAGCAAAAATTGTTTGATGTGATTATAATTTATATTATTATATTAAGGTTGTTTTTTTGGAATGAGTCACTATACAGAAAATGTAAACATCACTATAAAGACTTTGTGCTTAAAATATATTGACAAAAATAGAATTAGGGTATCCCCATTAAGGAGTTCTTTCACGTTTTTTAAGATAATGATGCTTTGTTGAAAGAGAGAGAGAGTAAGTTCGTACTTCCTGCAAGACATGGGGATTTTGCAGACTTGTGGGGACCAGCGTTTGAGGAGAGAGTTGCGCCTCACATGCCAACTCTCACGAGGGGCGGGCGCGTGCACGCATAATTAAATTATTTTTTTTTTTTAGATTTTAGTTTTATTTTTTTCCTCTCATTCCATTTTCTCTTTCCTAATTACACCTGTAAAATCTTCTCAAAATTTTCACACTATTAGAAATGTCACTATTTAAATATAAAAATTATATTTCACTTATTCAAAAATCTTTTTTAGAGTTTTTTCTTTTAGATATTTTAATCTTTAACACTCAAGAGTCCTGTCTGAGTGTCATCTCAATGAACGATGAGGTTAGTACTTGCCAGGTTAGTAAATTGTGATAAAGTTATTCATTGTTTGGAATTTGGACAGCCTATTTGCGCAAATTATGCCCTGGAAACGTGTTCATCGTGAATGGTGAACACAAGTCCAAACGACGTCGTTTTTACGCCAAAAAAATAATAATAAAAATTTGCGGATGTGGAGTTAACGACGCGCGTTTGATCAAATTATGAATTTTCTGTTATGAGATTATGAATGTAATATAAATTCATAATCTCATAACAGAAAATTCATAATCGCATAAAAGTAAAATATTTATTAAATTATGAATTTTCTGTTATGAGATTATGAATGTAATGTAGATTCATAATCTCATAACAGAAAATTCATAATTTCATAACAGAAAATTCATAATCTCATAACAGAAAATTCATAATCTCATAACTGAAAATTCATAATCTTATAACAGAAAATTCATAATCTTATAACAGAAAATTCATAATCTCATGGTTCCAAAGTGAATGTGTAGGCATGGTTCCAAAGTGATTGTGCAGGCATGGATTCATAATTTATGAATGTCCGTGATTTCGGACGGGAATGTGTAGGCATGGTTCCGAAGTGAATGTGCAGGCATGAATTCATAATTTATGAATATCCGAAATCATTGCTCACCTCAAATTAAAGTGAAACCGCGAAATGTGAAAATGAAGAAGAAAAGTCACACGGTTCCATGGCATAACGATTGGCCTGTTTGAGGATAGGCCCAAGGGCACGAGACCAGTTTCATTGGGGCTGAAACAATCACCATTTCAAAGCAAATTAGGCTTCCAAAAGGCACCAAAGCAGTTGACTGTTAACCTTAACATGAGTTTTTTTTTTTTTTTTTTTAAACAACCTTAACATGAGTTAATACCCGATTTGGTCCATCGACTATTAAAATTTTACTATTTTAGTTATCAACTTATAAATTTATTCAATTTTATCTCCAACTATGTAATTGTTAATTAAAATTATTATAATCAAGAGTATTTTGGTTTAGACAATGAACTATTTTAGGGAAAAATTATATAATCATGAATGAAATTGAGCAAATTTGGAAGTCAATAACTAAAGTGGTGAAATCCTAACAGTTGAGGAAACAAATTGAGTATTAACTCACCTTAACATGATTATGAAATAAACCAGTGAGGTGTTAGGGATATCAATTCTATTTACCTATAAATAAATGTGTGTGTATGTGTGAGAGATAAACTAAACTCTTTCAGATTGAATTGAACAAAAATTTAACTACAAATCGAAACGTTCACACTATTTATGACCTATAAATGAGTAGTGTGTGTGATTAAACTGAACTCTTTCATATTGAATTGAACAAAAATTTAACTAAAAATGGAAACATTCACCCTATTTATGACCTATAAATGAGTAGTATAACACTCATATGATTCGGATAATGGATGCGGGAGAAGAACGTTTTTAATACCCACACAAATATATGGGCAAAGCGGACTTGTGTTATACGTATTTAGACCAAATCATTCTTTATTCCTTATTACTATGAGTAATCTACGAGAACTAGCGGACCGGCCACAAATAAACAATTCACAAAGATTCAAAAAAAATAATGTTGAAGTTTGTAGTCATTCTTTTGATACTAAGTCAATGATTTACGGAGTAACTACTAATATGTTGTTCATCATTGAAGATTTGAAGCACTAATGTTGAGGTATGTAGTTACTTTTTGGTATTAAGGTAATGATTAACTCATTGGCCTCGTTTGATTCGCGGAAAATATTTGAGGGGAAATTGAATTGAAATTCTATGGAAAAGAAATTACCAGAAAGATTAATTACATTGTTTGGTTGGTAGAAAATAAATTACTAGAAATATCAATTTCATTGTTTGGTTAAGTTTGGAATTGTAAGGAATAAAGATTATAAAGACAATTATACCCCTACATAATAATTTTTTTTTGTGAAAGGGAGGGATCCTAAGGATCCCGAAGGTTAACGTAGCCTACTCGTGGCGATGTTGTGGGAGTCCCGTTCCAGCAAGATTCGCAGGTCATCAGGAGGGTGAGCCAGAAAAGATGTGCACCTCGCACTAGATTGGTCGAGGTTGGCAAGAAAATATGCGCATTGATTGTCTTCCCTGAAAACGTGAGTGAGTTTGATTTCTTGGAACTGCTCCATGAGGGATTTGCAGTCGAAGATAAGCGTACATGGAAAAGTTGGTGAGGACATAATGGTCCTACTTGTTTTCCATGGAAAACATTTCCTTATTTTTGAGGAAAATGTTTTCCATGAACCAAACAAAGGAAAATCTAGTTTTCCTCAAATTCAAGGAAAACATTTTCCTTAGTGTTGAAGTTTGTAGTTAGAGCATCCATACCAAAGGATAATACTTGATTTTTGGTACAGTAACTGATGACATGGAGAGAGAGAGAACGCAAGAAAGAGAAAAAATAGACCTCTTTGCAACACACGATTCTTGGAACAGTAATGGAATTGATGAAAAGGCTGAGACTGTGCGCGTTTCGTGCACAACAAAAGGCCACTCGGGCGCATACAATGCACGCGCTTGGTGGCGCGTCAGGCAGCGCGCGTGACAGCCTTTGTTTATATATATATATATATATATATATATATATATATATATATATATATATATATATATATATATATATATATATATATATATATATGATTTTTTTCTTTTTTTTCTCTATCTTCCCATATTCGCTTTCCTAATCACACTTATAAAAATTTCTCAAAAACCACAAAATATCTCTACTATTATAGATGATCTTAGTTTTTGGCACCAATAACAAAGATTTGGTGCACTAATTTTGGAACTAATAATTACTAGGCGATAACTTTAATGCGTTACTCATGAAGTTTGTAATTATAAATTTATATTTCCTAAATATAATAAATATAATAAATGTATAATAAATGCCCGCATGGGTAGCTCAACTGGTCATAGAGGTGAAACTTTGAAATAATAACCAGGGATCAAGTCTCACCAGTGGCAGTGTGGGAGCAACCTCTCAAAGTGAGGGGGTCTCCTTGTGCGTAGTGAGCATTGATCTAGCCTCTATGGTTCATGTTCGATTGAGTCATCATGATTTACATCCTCCCAAATGTTCTGTCGGGTTAGGGTCTCACCTATTGCAGAGTGGGAATCCACAAGAAATTTCATTACTCACATGGTCGTGGGATGAAAATCCATATATATTTTCTTCCACATTACCATTTCTAATTGGTGTAATGAAGGATGGTCAAACCTTTATCAATGCACCCATAATCATATGTTACTTTTTTTAACTAGTATTTACTATGTTAAATGTATTATTTGTTCATAATTAATTTCTCAATTTACTGAAGTATAAAAGTTAATACCACCCCATTAGAATTTAATTATGATTTTTTTTTACAATATCAATTGATAGTCAATGACTCAATATAATTAATGCAATAAAAAAGATATACCTAATTGTACTAAATATTATTGAGTATTAGTGTCGACAATATCTAATACAACAAAATAATATATTTTGATTGTATACGATACTCTTAGTATTTTGCCAATTAAAAATATAATCCTTCAATTCCATACCATTAATACATACATATTTATGAATATATCAATATTAAACACTACTAGAAGTAAAAATGACCTAATAGTGACTATAAGGTTGAGTCACTTCATTTTTAATGGGTTATGTTTTTTTTTCCTATAATAATGAATGGAAGTAATTAGTCTACAATATAGAGTTGAAGTTACAATTTTTTTTTTAGTTTAAAAAAGGCAAATGGAATATACAATTAATAAACTTTTATGATACTAAATAAAAGCAAAAGCTGAAAAAGTGAAAAATGTAACATGAATTATTGGGAGGATGTAACATCAAGATCAGAGCTCCATCTTATGTTAATTGCCTTTCTTTTTCATCCCACTGTTGCTCCATCACTTTAATTGCAAAAGTGACTCCAACAATCTTTAAACAAATCAAAGTTTTAATATAATTTTATTATTATTTTAGTACTGGCAAGTAGTTTAATTAATTATGTAATAATTATCCAATAAGACCACCATCAATGACATAACCCCACAATGTAGACGCATTGTCTCTGGGTTTTTGGACACTCTTGTTGACCAACTTGCCCCCGTCTCCTTCTTTTTTTTTTTTTTTTTTTTTTTTTTTTTTTTAAATATAAATTAAGCAAATCATTTGCATTAT